GACCACGTGGTGCAGTTTGGGAATTATCGGATGATGAAGATGACGTTAAGTGTGAGTCTGGTATTTGTGAATTCTCAAGACCAAGCGACGAGGTGCAACCTTGAACAAAATTAATGCAATTTTATAATTTTCATAACTCGTCTCACATGCAACCATACAGAATACTTTAAGATTTCTTACCCAGTGGAAGTCCTTTGAAATCCACCCGTAGCATCTTCCATTGTTTGAACTCTGTTGGAAGTACACGAACAAACCTGGCTCTGAATGGGTTGGATATTGCATTAGTAACCACTGTTGTTCTGTCAGAGTTACCGCTGAACTGTCAAACACAAAAACACAAAAGAAAAAACGAGAAGTGTGAGCTGGAAAATGTGTTTTATTATTATTACCACATAACTATGATGCGTGTGATAAATGAACACTTTTATTGGTTTTTATTAAAGTCAAAATCAAAATTCCTTGTTAACATATGGTATTTTCTGTTTTTCAGTTTTTCAGTCTTTCTACGGCTCTGGATCCATCTCTTTAATGAAATTGTACATTTATTAGCAGGACGGGATTTGGGTCCACCAAATTAAACTACATTTTTTTCATTGGCGGGTCTCTACCTCTTTTTCTCCAGACATTTCTTGATATGTTGTCCACTGCACGTTGTTTGTTGAGTACAATACTTTGTACTTTTTCACATATTCATGATTCCTGTTTTCTCCAAGTCCCTGAGTAGCTACAGCACATATATAGTACTTAGCACCAAGATCAATCTGAAGATAATCATCAGCTGTATCTCGTGTATACGGAGCCCAGGCTTGACTCTTACCCAATCTTCCTTTAAAAGGTTTGTATGCAGCAGAAGTTGATGTTGCTGTAAACCTGTGATCAGGTACCAAACTAGTAGAGGGTATACCAACACTGTGACTTGAACAGCCTGAACAGGAGAAAGTTTCAAAGTCAAATATGATTAATTGCAGGCCTATGCGATATATTTATAACTTAACTTTTAAAAGGTTTTCAGATAATCATGCAGGGAAGTAAGAAATAGAGAATATTCAATATTACGAGTGAGCGCAGCGAGGAAGAAATTCTCAACACAAGAAGGTAAAATCCATGCGGCCATGTAATATTCCGTTTAAATATATAATTATCCACGAAATACAATTTTAGTGGATTTTTACTGTTTAATGCGATTTCTAAGAATTCTTACCAATGGTGTTATTTTCATGTGTGAAGATTTCAGTAATGTATTATTATTTGGACAACAACTGGATATGAGCAATCGTGCGCTCTCAATGTCTACTCTACTACTAGGCTATCAGCTCATATACCATTAGTCCATTAGTAGAAAAAATTTAAAATGGCCACCGACCTATTTGTTCAACGTTTTGAGAAATAAAAACATATATGTGAAAAAGAAAAAAAAAACACCACGTGCCTGAAAAAATTCAGAAAACATCAAAAAGGAACATGGGAATTCATGGGAATCTTACTTNATATAGAAATCAGAAATGTCACATAATTACTTACTCAGGTTCACCGTCACTTTCCCCGATGCCTCATTCATTCCTCCACTTGGCACGTAGTTTGGATACGTTGCCCTACACGTGTAGAACGTGTTACAGACCACAGCTCGTGTGTTAGGATCTTGTCTTGTACAGTTGTACTTGGACACCACATCTTCAGCAGAGATAAACTGTACTCGTAGTGTTGATTGTGTTGCGCCGTTGATCTTAGTTCCATTGTTAAACCACTGTATGTCAGGTGCTGGTTCACCAAGTACGCTACATGTTAATGTAATGGAACTTCCTTTGATGCTTGAAAGGATGAAGTCAGCAGTATTTAAAACCACTTTTGGGACGACGGCTGAAATAATACCGCACAATTATCATTATTGATTAGATTTTAATATTCCCATGAGATCAGTAAGGATTTCAGTTTAAAAATACTTTCTCGTATGACTTACAGATATCACATCCATAGACATCAAATCGTATACAATGACCGCCCCCTGAGTTGTGGGTCTGAGGAATAATTCTGATATAACGTGCTGCTGTTGGATTCCTAAACCAGTTGACTCTGACGCCATTCCTATCGCTGTTTCCTTCTAAATTCTATTTAATAAAAGCCGGGAATGTACAAAAAGTATGATAATAAGTGGATTGTTAACATCAAAAGGCTTTCAATAAGCTCACATTAAAAACACATGTCATTCACCATTTTCCATACATCGGTTTACTGGTCAAACACAAAGCGCTCAAGATACTTTCAAAGGATTATTCAAATTTGAACCTTGCAACCTCGACTGAATGCTTTGTGTTTGACCAGTGAACCAATGTATAGAAAATGGTGAATTAGATCATTAGGATGTACTTATATAGCAGGCTTATATATATGACTAATAATCATAGCCATAACGATATTACCTTAACGACCAGTCCTTCTTTGTACTCATTCCAATATCTGTTATCAAAGCTGTAACTAACTTTGTATGACTTCACCCATGCATTCATATGTGGGTTACCTTGTGTTGCAATACCTGTCACTGTCTTGACCTGTCCAAGGTTAACCTGTATGTACTCATTATTACCATTTGTTTGGCTGCACCATGACGAACTGCCATACAGACGACCAAGTCGTGCGGTATATTGAACACCATTACCAGTCCAGAAAGAAGATGACGTCATCTGTGAGTCTGGTATCTGTGAATTCTCAAGACCAAGCGGCGAGGTACAACCTTGAACAAAATTAATGCAATTTTATAATTTTCATAACTCGTCTGACATGCAACCATACAGAATACTTTAAGATTTCATACCAAGTGGAAGTCCTTTGAAATCTACCCTTAGCATCTTCCATTGTTTGAACTCTGTTGGAAGTACACGAACAAACCTGGCTCTGAATGGGTTGGTTATTGCATTAGTAACCACTGATGATCTGTCAGAGTTACCGCTGAACTGTCAAACGCAAAAACACAAAAGAAAAAATGAGAAGTGTGAGCTGGAAAATATTTTTTATTATTACGACATAACTATGATGCGTGTGACAAATGAACACTTTTATTGGTTTTTATCAAAGTCAAAATCAAAATTCCTCGWTAACATGGTGTTATCTGTTTTTCAGTTTTTCAGTTTTTCTACGGCTCTGGATCCATCTCTTTAATGGACTGTGCATTCATTAGCAGGAGGCGGTCTGGGTCAACCAAATTAAACTACAATGGAATTTTTTTCATTGGCAGGTCTCTAAATTACCTCTTTGTCACCAGACATTTCCTGATATGTTGTCCACTGCACGTTGTTTGTTGAGTACAATACTTTGTACTTTTTCACATATTCGTTCCTGTTTTCTCCAAGTCCCTGAGTAGCTACAGCACATATATAGAACATAGCACCAAGATCAATCTGAAGATAATCACCAGGTGCATTTCGTGTATTCGCAGCCCAGGCTTGGCTATTACCCAGTCTTCCTTTAAAAGGTTTGTAGTGCTGAGAAGTTGATGTTGCTGTAAACCTGTGATCAGGTACCAAACTAGTAGAGGGTATACCAACACTGTGACTTGAACAGCCTGAACAGGAGAAAGTTTGAAAGTCAAATATGATTAAGTGCAGGACTATGCAAAATATTTATAACTTTTAAAAGGTTTTCAGATAATCATGCAATCACTACTAGGCTATCAGCTCATATACCATTAGTCCATTAGTAGAGAAAATTTAAAATGGCCACCGACCTATTTGCTCAACGTTTTGAGAAATAAAAACATATATGAAAAAGAAAAAAAAAACACCACGTGCCTGAAAAAATTCAGAAAACATCAAAAAGGAACATGGGAATTCATGGGAATCTTACTTGACTGGAAAGGATATCCATAGATCTCTGTCCTTAAGCACGATGTACCAGTCTGGGATGTCTTAGGTACAATACGTAGATATCTTGTAATAATACCATGGTACAGGATGAGACGTGCAGCAGTTGAACGATCATAGTTACCGTAGAATATCTGTGAATCAGAAACAAAAAGGTTCATGGCCCACGTACACTAAAAGTGACATATATGAAGAATACGTTATAATTGGTCAATGTTGTACTACCAGTAGATGTATCTATCTGGTACGTCTTCAC